ATTCTGATTTTAAGAACAGGAGTATCTTAAACCTGAAGGAATGTCTTGTGCAATCTTCAAGATGTAGGATGCAGGTTATCCAGCCACCTCCTGGAAAGGTATCACAAGTAAATATTCCAAAAGCTGCTATAGATGTTCTGTTAATCCATGCAAAGACTATAGTTCAAGGAAAAAAGTAAGCTTGACCTTTATTTAATTGGTTGTTACATTTAAAAGTCATTTCTGTCTTAAGAGGTCTCTACCATACCTCTTCATTCCATAAGGCAGTAAAACACATTTTAAAAATAGTGATGTGTATTTATGTAAAGCTAAGTGCTCTTCATATTTTAATTATTTCGTGTTTATGTTCTGCGGATTTCACTGGAGCAGGGAGGAATCCTCTTGTTTTAAGGAGTTAGCGTAGCTTCCAAAAAGGCACTACTGCTCCAAACCTGAAATTTTGGAAGTTTTCAAGAATGATCTTTTGAAATGCTCGCTGTGTGACTTGCATGAAGCATAAAGAGGGAAATAGAATTGATGGTGGAACACACTTTCTAAGGCATTAGTTAGTGGTTGTAAATACTCCTTCTGTGCATTATTATTGAGCATTTATTAACGTCGCCTCTGGGTTTAATTTGAGGCAGGCTGAATGATCCATTCAAGTTAAAAGACAAAAAAAAAAAACCCCTGAACAACACTCAGTTTCAGTTCTGCTTGCAAAGAAATGTCAGCAACTAACTGTATCTTACCTAGTTCTATGTTCTAGAGTAGCATTTTGTAAAATATTCAGCTACAGACTTTTTAATAGCTGTTAGTATAACATGAGCCCTCCGTTTCTGAACAAGTTATTGTGCAGCTCTTAGAAGCATGTGCAATATCTGTTTTTCTGGAGGAAAGATGAACTTGATTCATGTTGTTTTATTGTCCTGTGGAATTACATTTTTCTGCAAAGCTTTCCAAACAATGCTGTAGCAATTTTATAGTATCTTTACTGGGTAAATAATCTCCCATTTTCTGCAGGTGCTGATAGTTCGGTGTGTATGAGTCAACAGTAGAGTGGGGACCACTTCTTTAAATTTGTATAAATGATAGAAGTTCCTTTTTTCCTGCACTTTTGAATTAGCAGAGCAAGTTATTACAATTCTCAGGGCAGTACTTCTGGTTCAAAGTATTCTAACAGTGATATGCTTTTTCTACAACATAGAATAACCATCCAGTTGGTGGTGTTAATTTTCCTCCACAACAAATTTATTGTTTTATACAGCGCAGTTTCTCACCCTTTCCTTTGGATTTCCAAACATATATTAAGCTGATCTCCATCCAGACAAAAGCTTATCAAAATTGAAATTCAGAGTGAGTAAAATACTTGTAGCATTACACTGGAATGCCCATCTCAAATCGAGTTTCTATTAGAAGCAGCGTCTCCTTCCAAGACTGCAGTAGCTTTTGAGTTGCTCTTGATGAGATGTCATCTTTATTTTCCAGATGTTCCTGTAAACCTTTACTTCCTTGACTTGGTAGTGTATAGAAACTTCATTTTTATGTCATGTTTTAGTACTAAACTGGAACAGTTTCAGAAAACCTCATCATAATTTGCTGAAAAAATATTGCTAAATCACAAGGTGACTTTGGAGCAGGGGTAATAAACGTGTCTCCTGTAAACCACGTCTGACCTCTTCGGAAAACTGATCCCCTGCCCTCACTCAGCGGCTCTTGGACGCAGACGAGAAGGCTGGTTTGAGGGCAGCAGCCCACCCCCTGCCGTTATCCTTCCCCGGAGACCTTGTAAGCTTATCCCATAAGTGATGTGTGGTTTCGTATGTTGGCCGTGGAAGAGAAGGCGGAGAGCTGCTGCGTACGTTCATCAGGTATCTTCAGGGAGGATGGTGTGGCCACCACTGCGGACGTTTGCATGGATCTGTGTCAGAAGACTGAAAGGCAAACAGAATAAAATCACTGTGCATGGAGGCAATGCGACAAGAAACCATCTCTGTCAGCTTTCTGAAACAGCTTTTTACATACAGCCAGTGTCTACCCAAGCCCCTAAATGGCATCCAGTCTCCTGCCGGTTTATTCTTCAGAGATGCCAAAGCAAGAGTATTTTATGCTTTTAAAATGATCATGTTAACTACTGGGGTTATTTGATATTTTAATTTTTTGCTGCCGACAGGAGACTGCAGGGCTCAAAATGCCAATTGATGTAGCAAAACCCCAGTCCTTTTGAAATTATTTTAGGTCTCTGTCAGCTGTCCAATATATACAGATTTTTCTACCTTTCATTTTTCTATCATACACTCAGAGGTCTTCTAGAAACCCAGCTGCACCCTCTGCTGCTCCCCAAACCACCCACCACGAGGCTTACCTGGTGGAGCCCATTGTTTTCATGCTCTGCACACATCAAATACTGGTTTTAGTGGGAACCTACATTAATTTTTATGTGCTTCGTAGCCAGAAAGGTATTTGACATTTTCAGTGAGAGCAGAATTGTGTAGTGAAAAGAGGAGCAATTTCTATTGACTGCAACAAGAAGTTTATTTTTTTTACGGGTGACTGGATATTATTTTTAATAATTGTTCAGTACTGTGAGATAATGTTACAGTGTTGGATTACATCTCCTTATTACTCTTGCAATTATTGTAAAGGAGGTTACATGCGTTAATAATTAGTGTAATAAAAAACTTAGATGTTTAGTAGGGGTGTTCAGTAATAGGGCAGTGGTGGCACCTTGAATGGGAGAAGTTGGGTATGTGGTAATGATGTGAAAAGAGCTGGAACCCTGGGTCTGGTCTTTGAACCACAGAAAAGCAAATTGAAAAGCAAATTGGTTTCCTTAAGCTTGGCTTGAGGCTCTGCCTCCTAACTATTGCCTGGAGTCTTCATTGATTGCATCTAGTCTCGAATATCTATAATTAAATATAAATGCATTGAACTATCACTCTTATCTGTACTTAAACTAGTTTGGGTAAAAGAAGATCTTTACAAATCTCTTTGAAATGTAGTATAGTTCTAGACATTGACAATCCACATTTGTTTTGTTAAGTAGATCCTTTCTGCTTAAGGTAGATCCTTTCCCAGAATTTTTTTTGAAGCAGATAGAAGAATTACTGAAAGTTTTAGTATTTGTTGTGGGTTAACCACTGTCAGCAGCTCAGCCCCACGCAGCCGCTCACTCACTCCCCCCTGGTGGGATGGGGGAGGGAATTAAAGGGGTGAAGGGAAAAGAGACTCGTGGGTTGAGATAAGAACAATTTAATAACTAAACTACAATAATATTGGAAATTATGATAATAATGAGATATACAAATACACAAATGAGTGACACACAGTGACACTGCTCACCACCCCATGACCAAGGCTCAGCCCAGGCTAATGATCCCGGAGCAGGGAGAGTCCCAAAACTAGAATCCTGGAATGGCGATAAGAGCCCGAGTGTCCGAGAGACCAAGAGCTGACTGAGGGAGGGAGACAGCCCTGGGAGAGGGACCACCTGGAGTGAGATGATCCAGAAAGAGAGAGATTCCAGAGACACCCTCACCTCTCCCCTGGCCATGCCGGGCATGGGATGGAACAGACCATCGGCCAGTTTGGGTCTCAGTCCTAAACCTGAGGTCGAATCCTGGGCTGGTCACTGGGGCTGTGCTCCCTCCCAGCTCCTCCTGCCCCTGCAGACACGGGCACAGCAGAGAAGCTGGAAAGTCCTTGACTGTCCTGGCAGCAGCTCTGCCCATCAGTGTGTGATCAGCTTCTCCTCAGCACAAACCCCAACACAGCCTCACACCAGCTGCTGGGAAGAGAGTTAACCCTGTCCCAGCCCAGACCAGGACAGGGCTCCATCACGCGTCGCAGTGACTTGGGAGGACAGACACCGTAACTCCGAACGTCCCCCTTTCCCCTTCCTTCCCCCAGCTGTTATTGCTGAGCGCAGTGTTGTGCGGTGTGGGATACCCCTTGGGTCAGTCGGGGTCAGCTGTCCCCACTGTGTCCCCTCCCCGCTCCTTGTGGCCCCCCAGACTCCTCGCTGTTGGTGGGGGGGGAGGAGGGGGACTTGGCTTTGTGCGAGGTGGGATACCCCTTGGGTCAGTCGGGGTCAGCTGTCCCCACTGTGTCCCCTCCCCACCTCTTGTGCAGCCCCAGCCCACTCCCCAGCAGGGCAGCGCAAGAAGCAGCAAAAGCCTCAACCCTGTGTAAGCACTGCTCAGCAATTGCTAAAACATCCTGTTATTATCACAGTTTTCATCACAAATCCAAAATGTAGCTCCATACCAGTTACTACACAGAAAAACCAGTACAGTACTTTTTCTGTTATTCCTTGAAATATTATTTTTTGACATTAAAATGTCAATGTGAGGGCTACTGTGGGGATACCAACTCCATCTCAGCCAGACCCAATACAATGTCTTAATGGTGGTTGGGTTATATTAATTAATAAACTGAAAGCAGATGGAATTATTTTCACCCCTTGATTACTAGGTAGGCATTTTAAGGCTAGAAGTTTTCTTTGTGAATTACACTGATTTCTGACATAACACGATTTATTGGAAAGCTCTCAAAATAGTTTTAAGGCAAATGAGCTTTTAAAATAATTTTTATCAACTTGTTTTGTTGCTGTCTTATCATTGTGTTTTATATGGTAGCTTTTGTCTGACGTTTGAAATTTTAGAGAAAGATTAATCATTTCTTCAGTCAGCTCTGGGAGATTGCCTTTGGATTCTTCCCAATTGTGTTCCAATTATTTCAGCTAATTACCTCATCCCAAAGCTTTCAGAACTTTTATGTTTAATTTGCGAGTTATCGTTGAATTTGAATAGTTAAACAGCAGCAGAAAGAAAGAAAGAAATATGATTTTATGTTCTGATCAGCTTGGAAAGAAAAACATGAATAATTGACCAGGAGTGACTGGGAGACGGCGTCATTCCGTATAAAATATGATGAAGAGTAGTAAAATGATGATGGGAGTATTATTTGGATGCAAAAATAATGGTTTGTTTCCCGAATGCCTTTTTTTCAGTGCGTGGACCAGTTGACAAGGATCCAAGCTGAATTACAAGAGACAGTAAAAGATTTAGCTAAAGGCAAAAAGAAATATTTTGAGACTGAACAGATGGCTCAAGCAGTGCGGGAGAAAGCTGATATCGAGGCCAAGTATGTTTTTATAATAGCATATGTATAAATAATTGCGTGCGTATAAGGCAGATTTGTACTTGTATTGGTTTTACACTTGATATTATTTTAAAAGAAAGAATTGCTTTCAATGAGCTTGTGACAATTTTTTTTTTCTTTTTGCTTAGATATGTTTCTGTAACCATTCTAAGCATGCTTTTACCCTGATAGCTCAGTTAGGCTGGTTTCTTTAGGAAGGAAGTTAAACTCACTGCTTTAATTTCTCCTTTCCGAAGGACAGTGTATGAGCTGGCACTCTTTTTGATATTAAAAACTGTTTGCTGCCTTTTCTCTCCACGGATCTCAAATTTTATATTAGTCCATTTGGAGGGGGAGAGGGCATGGGACACTATTTGCCATTTTTGAAGATAGATTTTTGAAGTTTTAGGTTTTTATGCTCCTTGGCATCCTAAAGAGGTTGATTTCCTTCCTTTCAGGAAAGCAAGTAACTCCCGTGTTTTCAGTTTGGAGTTTGGTCTGCCCTATGGGACTTTACCTTACCCTGTTTTTGCAAGTTTGTTTTTTTTTTTTTTAAGAAATTCCTCAGGTTGTTTTAAAAGAATGAGAAGAAATTATGGTTTCATTAGAGAATGGTTCTGTCTTTCACTTTATGAAGCCTGGATGTTGAAAAGAAGAGCTTTAATGAGATTACCTGTAATACCCAAAGAAAGTAAAAAAACTGCAAGCAAACAAAACAACCAAAAACTTCAGCTTGGGAATTTTGGGACAGATTCATACTGCAGTATTGTTCAGATTAAAAGAGCTCTTTACTTGATTTTGTTTTCTTATTTACTTTTTAAACCACTGTCTTTCAGATAGCTAGTAAAATACTTCTTTAATTTCTCTTTCATGAGTCCAAATGTGAAAATCAGACTAATGCTGCTTTTAAAAATAGGTTTGTGTACTTGGGTACTCCTCCACCTTCCTAGAATACAGTTACTAATGATTCTGCATTAATATTCCTTCAGCTGACCAGTAGTTCAGATTTCTAGCACTTTGTGTCTGGAAGGCTAACTCAAAATCCTCCAACCACCAAAATCACTTGAGTTGCAGCCGCCACACAATTTCCCTTTCAGGATGCATTTAAATTTTGTTCAAAAATCAGTGGAAGTTGTCCAAAGATTTCAGAACATGCAATGAAGATACTATTGATGTAGCTCAGCATACTTTGTAATATTTTCCTCAATCCTTGAAGCTTTACTTAAAATTATACCAATAAAACTTCAGGCATCAAAAGTTAATTAATTTAAAATTTTGCAGAAGTGAAGGGCAGTGGCCTGTTTATCCTGTACTTCTGTAAAAATGATGTAAGGCAGTAACGTCTTCTGTTGATTTCTGTTTTCAGGTCCAAACTTAGTCTTTTTCAGTCAAGAATAAGCTTGCAGAAGGCAAGTGTAAAGGTGAGTATAAGAAAAACTTGTCTTTTACTGCTGATTTCCTGAGGCATATGACCAAAGTTGTTTGGAATCTCGAGATGACTGACGTTTCGGAAGGTAAATTGTTAGAACAAGTGATGAGATAAGAGCAGACTGTTTTGGCAGTCAGAGTGCAGAATTACATATGACCAAATTAACAAGGAAATGTTTTCTACTGGGAGTTATGACTGTTCTTTAAAGACCTCATGTGAAATTACTGTGTGAGAGAAAAATACGTTAGAAATCCCCTTACCATTAACAAAAACGCTAAGCTATTAATCCCTTAAAGTTTTGACTATGTTAATGCATACATGTGCATGTTAATTTATTATTAATACATTTAATTTCTCATTAGTACCTATCTTTTAACTTCCATTTCTTGTTGTAGTTAAAAGCACGACGATCCGAGTGTAACTCCAAGGCTATCCACGCCAGGAATGATTATCTCCTCACTTTAGCAGCTGCTAACGCACACCAAGATCGCTACTATCAAACAGACTTAGTAAACATTATGAAGGTAAGGAAGCTAGTTTATGTATCAGAATCGGAAAGTGTGAAAGTCTGGAAAACAAAATAAGTGAAGAACAAAATCTTGGGCTGTTTTGAGACAGCAATGTTGACTTTTCCAATTTGCTGCGATAAATGAGAGTGCAGTAGAGAGATCCCGCGACAGCGTGCAGGATCTGTGCTACCAGTTATCAAGCCCCAAAGCTAAGCAGTCACCTTCATTTTTTAATTCATTTTTTTTTCTGAAAAACCTGGATAAAGGAATCAACTTTGTAAAACTAAGACCTACATTTTCTGATTGTAGTTGACCTTAAGTAAGCTCAAGGTTTTTAAATTCTTCAGTAGCATATCCATAATCCTTTTCTTGTATCTAATTATCTGATCAGAACATTTCTGTATAGTACAATTAATGAAAATATAACCATTAAATATCTTGGTTTCAAACTGTGAGCTGCAGAGAATAGCAAATCAGCGTTGCCGTACTCCCACGTGGCCACTTGCCAAGTCAAGCCAAGAGTAGATGCTTGAACTCATAGGAAATGACATACTTTAAAAGTTCAAACATGATTACTCACAGTTTTATTTTTAATATCATCCTACAGTTACTTGAATGTACATTGTTCCTGTGTCTTAGAATTAGATAGTTATACAAATAAATTGTAAAATCTGTAAAATCAGCTGTTTAGAGCTGATTCAGACTTTATGTAGTCGCATTTCATGTGTTGACATTGTCAGATTTTATTTAAATTTGCTATCTGCAGACTGTTTCCAGGTGATGTGATCAGTCACGGCAGCTTAGAAGTCTGTAATTTACATGTAAAATCGCTTTATTGAAGAACTGTCGCTGTATTATAACAAATCACTGTATGATGAGCAGGCTTTGGCATACTGGGGGGGAATAGTGATGTGAAAAGCAGGTAACCAAAGTAGAAAAGAAGAGCACCCAACGAGACCTCCGAGGGATTCTCATGTATAAGTCCATGATATCTGGACTGAGTGAGCCACTCCTCCGGCAGTATGTGTGCGCCTCTTCGAGTACATCACAGCCTGTGTTATAAATCTGTTGTGATGCCAACTGTCTGACTCCCTGGAAGGCTAAATCAGATCTGGGTATCTCGAGGCGGCGCAGGACTGAGAATCCTGGAGGCAGCAGCCCTGGCTTTGCTCTGTGTGTTTGTGTGGTTGTGTTTTTCCATTAGGAAAACATTTCTGTTTGTCCTGACTAAATGTTTAGTACGTGGAAATGGTTATGAAGTAAGTCTTTCCTTACAGTACCAGAGATAAAATTATTAATTGATGCTTACATAAGATAATTCCATACTTACGTGCATGGGTGGCCATCATCAGTTAATGCTCTTACTTGGATAGTGCCAGAAGTGAATTTAATATGTTCACAATGAAACAAACAGAACAGTCATTTGAAATAAAAAAAAAGAGCAGATAGTCCAAGTAAAATTACAGCCGGTGGGTTATGGTTGCTCTAGACTCAGGAGTATTGTAACGTAAACCCTGCGAAGGGATTCTCCTCTCCTCCATCCGTCTGCCCACGTTTTGTGTGCGTTACAAACGCAGCACATAGCGAGCTGCGCACGATCTTCGTCTCTTTGAGTTTCCATAAACATTGAATGCTTTTGGATGGTGTGGGCTTTCTCTGCTGTGACGTTACAAACCTGCAGGTGCCCCAGGAATGTGTGGGTTTGTTTTGGGTTGGGTTTTTTTTTCTTTAATAAGTTGGTATAAAACATCAAACTAAAAACCGCTGAATCATTTTGGCAAGACTGAAGAGCACAGTAATGGAAAATGAAGTCGTGCTGGTGCCGTTCCTTGACACGTGTGCTGTTCTCCATCGATCTGCTGCTTGCGTGGGGTCCAGTTGTTAAAGTCGCTGCTCATCTGGTTTCTTTACCCAGCTACTGGGCTCCCTCTTACCCAGTCCCTTCTTCTGGAGAACTTGTTTTAAAGCTTTTTTTCAAAGTGAACCTTTTCTTGACATGGAAATCTCTCTGTGCAACCTTTTCTTCTCTATAAAAGATCGTGGTTTACTGAAAACCTGAGTTGCTTTGGAAGGAAAGGACAACATTTAGGGGTTTTTTTCTGCATCTCTTGGATATTTCTAGGAGTTATATCTGCTTGCCTGGTAAACACATGCGCTCTTAATAAAGAACTGTAAATTTATTTTTTTTTTCACTGTTGTTCATGAGCAAAAATACGCGGGAGCACACCCGAATTCCTTGCAACAAGGTCATCCTTTGGAGCAAGGGGAGAATTGCTCAAAGGCAAGATCTCAGACTGAAATGGCTACAGAATGCTTTAGAAGAGGCAGAGAAAACCCTCTGGAAAATCAAGTGTAATCTGTCACTGGGCTCCAACTGCATTAATCTGTGAGCTCTAAGGTAAATTCAAACGTGAAACTGCGTAAATATAAACAACGGTGTAATCTGGTGCTAAAACCAGCCTCAGTGTCAAAAAAACATGTGTCCCAACCTTTCCAAAGGGCTCCAGGAGGGACCCTGTGAATTATAGGTGAAGAAATCTGACTTTCCTACTGGGCAGGCTGATAAAACGAGCACGGTGATGAATGGAGTCAGTTCACACGTGGGTAGATACGATACAATGGGAACAATCAACATGATTTTTTAATTAGTCCTGCAAAAAGAGATCTTTAAGGAGTCAGTCAGCCTGGGGATACGGGTGATTCATCTGATTTAATGTCTCGTATTTGCCGGGAGCTCTCAACAAACTTCCCACTCAGTCTCTTGCTTACGTAAAAGAACGGCGTTGTTACGGGTAGGGCTGGGAGGGTTTTCTCATAGATTAATAACTGATGGAGAGATAGAGAACATGTGGGATTAAAGTAAATACTGGGGGTTTATAAGGGAAGGAGGTTTGCTGGCAAGATCCTGTTTCTCTGTTACCTATCTCCTCTCTCTGAAATGCGTGTGGGAACCATGCTACTTAAATACGGAGAAAATAATTATTTATTTAGCATAATGCTTTAGCATAAACAATATGTGGAAGGAACTGAAGAGAGAGGTGATGATTTGAAAATGAAGAATCATTCAGTATAAGCAAATGGAAAGCTTATTACCAAGAAGCATTTTATCTGTCTTGCAGCACTTTTGGAGTTACTGCCTTCTTGCAGATACTCAGCTTCCTTTGTTGGGGCTCTCTTGACCGAGACTCTCAAAGACAGAACCAAGCATCCCGGAAAAATTCCCTTCTCGTACCAGCTGCCTCATTTGAAAGCAAACTGGAAGACTGACTTCCATAGGGAGCAAGGTGGGGTTGTTGAGTGGGACCAGTAGCATCTCAAATGTCATAGGATTTACTCAGTTCTTTGGTGTCTGCTCTTTCAGGATGAGTTCTGCAAACTGGTGATTATCTCCACTCTGTAGAGCAGGTGAGATTATTCCTGTAATCCACCCCATCTATATAGCGAGACACAACTGTAACACCAGTTTTTTATATATATAT